ATCCTTAGTAGTTGCTAAATTGGATAGAATGCCTTCTAAAATTATCTATTCCTTTCTTTCCACGTCATCCAAAAAATTACATCATGAGATATATGGGCAACTGCCGGTTTCTTGTTTCTATGATAGCATTTACCATCGCATGCTAGCAGCTCCTTCTGAATCAAACTGCTTCTCACCCACTTGATATGCATAATACCAGATACCAAATCCCTAAGCCTTATCCGAACCGGTGCACCATGAAAAAGGTTCAGGGATTTGTTGTTGCTTAGGCAAAATGGGCAATGATTGATGATCAAGCAGCCCTTCTTCTTTATATTGTCCATAGTAAGGATGTTATCTTAAGCTGCTTTCAAAACAAAAGAAAAAGCAACTCTTTGGGAAACCTTGTTTCCAAAAAGGATTTTAGGGGAAGCTATCAAGAATGCTGTCAGTTTTTAGGGGCAGAATAGCAAAGATTTGACAGAAAAATCCGACTGGGATGTCCTCAGAGTTCTGATTTGTGAACACCTTTTAACATTTAGCAAGAAGATTCACATATTCATTGACCTTCTGATTATTAAGATTCCTACCAAGACCCATGTCCCAGAAACTAGTCTTCTCCACTTGTACATAGTAGTCCTAAAAGGTTTCATCTTTGGAAATGAAATCTTTTTTTTTTAGTTTTCCTAGAAAATTTGTTTTGTTAATAAAATGAACAATCATTTAAAAGTGAAAAGAAGGAAAACATGTAACCAATGATGTAGAAATTTAGGGAAAAAATATACTTTATTTCCACTATATTTTTAATGATACAAATGACTTATATATATATATAAGAATTTCTAAATACAATTAGGGAAATTTCCCTTATAATGAGAATTCTAAATAATTATAAAAAATTAATAGTAAGAGTGAAAAATATTACAATTATTTAGTCAACGAAATATTCATGTCAACACTCCCCCACAAGTTGGTGTAAAGATATCACACATGCCCAACTTACATATCAAGTTCTGAAAAGTTTTGTTGCAGAGTCCCTTAGTGAAGAGATTTGCCACTTGATTGATAGAAGATACATGATAGAAGTATAAGGAGCCATCAATCACTTTTTCTTTTATGAAGTGACGGTCAATCTTAATGTGTTTCGTGTGGTCATGTTGAATTAGATTTTGGACAATATTAATGATTGTTTTATTGTCACAAAATAATGATAGACTCCATTCTTTTTAATTCATTCGTTAGCTTTTGCAATCATAATAATTCACATACTCCGTGAGTCATTATTCTATATTCTATTACAGCACTAGAACGGATAACTTCACTCTGTTTCTTACTTTTTTCATGTAACTAAGTTGCCACCAACGAGTGTGCAGTAACCAGTAGTTAACTTTCTATCATCTGGAAATTCAGACCAATCGACATCTGTAAATACTTCTATCTTAAGGTGACTATTTCTGGAGAAGAGTAAACATTTTCTTGGTATAGATTTCAGATAGTGTAATATTCGAAAGATAGCATGTAAATGAGTCTCGTGAGAATCATGCATGTACTGACTCACTAAACTAACTGTATAAGTTATATCTGGTCTGGTATGTGAGAGATAAATGAGTCTTCCAACCAATCTCTAATATCTTCCTATGTCAACTGATGAACTGCTGTGAGTTTGTGATTATTTTCAATAACGGATTCTGCTGGCTTGTAACCCATTATTTCAGTCTCTTCTAATAAATTTAGAATATATTTTTTTTTTAAAAAAATGAAGATTTTTTTATTAGATTTGACAACCTCAATTTTCAAAAAGTACTGTAATTTTTTTAAATCTTTAATTTCAAATTCTCGAGTAAGAAGTCCCTTTAGTCGAATCATTTCTTTTGTATCATCACCAGTCACTACAATATCATATATATAAACAATGAGAAGAGTGATCCTACCATCACAATACTTGATGAACAGAGTATGATCAGCATTGTTTTGCTGATGTTCGAAAAAAATCATAACACTTCTGAACCTTTCAAACCGTGCTCTTGGAGATTGTTTTAATCCATACAAGGCCTTCTTTAATTTGCAGATCTTCCCTTGTGTTCTTTCATCTTCGAATTCAGGTAGAATTTTCATATACACCTCTTCCTCTAAGTTCCCATGGAAGAAGACATTTTTTACATCAAAGTGGTGTAAATCCTAATCAAGATTAGCAGTACAGGATAGTAATATTATGATTGTATTCATTTTTTCGACAAATGCAAACGTTTCTTGATAGTCAACTCTATAGGTCTAAGTATACCTTTTACCCACTAATTTAGTTTTGTATCTTTCAATTGACCTATTTGTTTTGTGTTTTACAGTGAAAACCCGTTTACAGTCAACCATCTTCTTTTCTTGTGGGGTTGAAACTAGTTTCCATATTTCATTTTTTGCTAATGCTTTCATTTCTTCAATCATTATTTTCTTCCATTTGCGATCTTCTAGAATTTCTCTCCAATCCTACGGAATAGATACAGAGAAAACAGATAAAACAAAATCTTTATAGAAGGGAGATAAAGAGTCATAGGTGACAAAATTAGACATAGGATGTTCAGTACAAGTTCTGACTCATTTTTAAAGAGCAATGAGTTTATCAAATAATTTATAAGGTAAAGATGACTCACCAGTATTTTCAAGAATTGAAGAAAATTATTGACTTGTGATAGACTGCATGATGAATTTTTTTGTCTTATCTCTCCTTGAATACCTTTCAAAGTCCGGTTTATCCAGTCGTCCAACATTTTCTTCTGGAATAGGATCTTCTGACATGTAATTTTTCCCATGAATATAACTGTCGAGAGTGACCAAATTGGGGCATCGCCTCTTCCATTTCACTCTCCCCTTGAAGAGGTGTTGGATAGAGTTGAAGTATAGTTCAGATTCTCTAAAAGTAACATCTATAGTCACGAAATATTTTCTAAAAGACGGATGATAACATTTGTAACCCTTTTGAGTAGGAGAATATCCAACAAATACAAATTTGATAGATCTAGGTTTCAGGTTACTCGCATTTTTAGTATGGACAAAACAAACACATCCAAATACTTTGGGAGGAACAACATAGGAATATGTACCTTGCAAAACCTTCAAAGGATTTTTAAAATCAAGAACTCGCAAAGACATTATATTAATAATTTAGGTAACTGAGAGAATTACATCTCTCAAATAACTTTTAGATAGATTCATGGTGAACATTAGTGACGGAGGTACCTCTAATATGTGTTTGTTTTTTCTTTCAGTAACCCCATTCTGTTCATTGGTGTAGGCACAAGTTGTATGATGAATTATTCCATTAGACTCTAAATATACACGGAATCCACCATCCATATATTTTGCATTGTTGTCTGTTTTTAGAATTTTAATTTGAGTATCAAACTGTATACATACCATTTTATGAAATGACTAAAAATATAGAAACACATAATTTTTGGCTTTCAACAGATAAACCATGTTAATCTAGTACAAAAGTCAATAAAAGTAAGAAACTATTTATGCGCAGATAAAGACGTATTATGAGTAGATCCCCAAACATCAGAATGAATGGTCATAAAAGGGATAGGACTTATATAGTTATTCACATGATATGAAATCCTTCTATGTTTAGTTAGTTTATATGCATCATCAAATAAGTAATTCATAAAAGTTCTTTTAAACAATGTAGGATATAATTTTTCTAGAGTAAAGAAAGAAGGATGTCCTAACCGTCAATGCAACTGTAAGATTTCCTTATTGACATCTGTATCTCCAAGGGCAGCTTGATTCCGAATGATGTTTCGATTTCTATTCAAGACATATAAGTTATCCTGCAGTCTACCAGTACCAATCATGAAGATTTTGAAAGACACAATGGTCAGAAAACAACTTAATTTACAGTCAAAATTTTTATTACGGGCACTAATGGATAAGAGACTGTCAGAAAAACTAAGCACATGAAGAACTAAAGTCAGTGGAATGGTCGGAGTACAATTAATGGAACCTATTCTAAATACAAGAGTGTATGATCAATTGATGTCACAAATATTTTTCCGTTGAGTATATGGAAAATAGATCAGGAAATCTTAAGAAGAGCCCGTCATGTGTTTGTTAGCTCCAGAATCTATAATTTAAGTATCAAAATTGGAAATATTAAGGGGAGGACTAGTACCTGAGTTTGCGATTTTTGACGTGCCGATAGAGAAAGAACAATACTTAGCTGCTAATTTCAATGAGATAAAAAAAAAATTCGAAAGATGCCAAAAAATGCTCCAACACCAATGGAGACCAAAAAATGTTGCGAGACCGGAGGAGATCAGCGGAGACAAGTTTGTTCGGCGAGACAAGAGAACCAGAGTCAAATCCGAGAGAGACAAGTTTGGAGCCGGAGACAGAGGCAGGCGTGCACCGCGGGAGACCAAGTCACGACCGGATTCTGGCGCAAAAACAAGCAGAGCTACTGGTGCTTTGCAAGACGTGGTCACACAGTTGAAAAAAGACATATTGCGTGCAGCTGCGTGAAGAGGGTATGTTGGTGCAAGGGATCGTCTGGCTTGAACCTAAGCAGTCTGTCTTGCGCGCAAGATGCAGTGCGCGAAATCAGAAGGCTGTGTTGAGCTTCTGGTGCGTGAAATCAGGTCGAAGAAACGTCAGGATTTGTAGCATTAGCTGGCGGTACAGAAGACATTGCGAACCAGATAGCCATGCGCGAAGAAGCACTTCAAATCGGCCGTGCACGAACAAAAAACCGAGAAGAGTGGGTGCAGCCAGAAAAGAGAAACACTGCGAACAGAGGCTGTGTGTGAAGAAGTTGTGCGAACAATAGATTGTGGCCGGAGCAGAGGGATCAGCTAAGGTGGAGTAGGTCATTGAAATAGTGCAGTCGGCCGCTGGTGAAGTGAAGACTCCGTTAGGTGGTGAGAAGATTTTAGGGTTTGGAAAAAACCTTGAAGTAAAACCCTAAACCCTTATTTTTGTTCTGATACCATATATGAATTTAAGAATATTTACTTTACTTGCACTATATTTTTGATGTTACAAATGATTTATATATATAACAATTTCTAAATACAAATAAAGAAATTTATCTTATAATAAGGATTTTAAATAATTATAAGAAATTAATAGTAAGACCTATATAGAAAAAATATCACAATTATTTAGATAACAAATTATAAATTCATGTCAACAAATGGTGTTGCCTTTCTTTTAGATAAATTGTACTTTATTTAGAGGAAAAAAGTCTTTTATTCACTTTTTTCCTTTTTTGATGAATTTTTCTATTTCACTCTTATTAAACATAGAAAAATGTCCTATGAAGAGAGATATCTATTCACTTTTTTTTTCGTTTTTATTTATGGTTCAAATCTTGCTTTGGTACTATGAAAAAAATATTATGTTTCTCTTATTTAATTCTGAATAAAAATGAGGCGATACATACAAGTTTAATTTCCAAAATAGGATACAAAAAATCTGTATACTCAATCTCCATAAGTACTAAAATAGAAAATAGTAACTAATTACGAGATATTCTCTCACCAAAAAATAGGAAATTATATTAGTAGGATCTTGCTAATCTTGGCACTTAATTGCAAGTCAAAATCTCATTATCTTAGCACTTAATCAGAATCTCATAATCTTGGCACTTAATTACAAATTAGAATCTTATATTTTCACACTTTTTAAATAAAAAAAAGTATATTGGAGATAAATCATTTTAGTTTTTTTTTTTAAATAAAAAGTGTAATTATATATTAACATGGTGCCAAAAACTAGGGGTACCGTCTATTTACAAAACTTTACAATGTAGTTAGAGAATTATTTACAACTCCAAAATTCACATTACTAATAATGTCATGATTTAACAATATAAACCTAAAATAATTCATCTATTTATCCCTCAATCGATATAAATCTGTTTCTTTTATCCTTAAAAATTTTAGAACTTCTCTCTTTGTAAAGAACTCAAAAAATGGTCAATGGAATGTTTTTTTTTAGATTACTGTCTAAATGCACCCCCGCCCAAAGCCCACAATTCCTCCTTAATAGACCCAGAATCCAACTAAGACAAACGAGGCTGTAAATAACACTGCATAGACCAAAAGCCACAGGACACCACAGCAGGACATGATTACAGCATTCCTCATTCTGCATGCACATATAGCGCCGGTTGGAGATGATCAGCCCTCTTATTTTAATTTTTCAATGGTCAAAATACATTCCCTGCTTGCATCCCATGCAAAAAAGCAACTCTAGGTGATACTTTTACTTACCAAATCTGTCTCATAGGGAAAATTGGGTTCACAATGTTGTTCCTTCTAGTTAAGTGCTTGTAATAAGATTTTACATATAGTTTTCCCTTTTTTCCAGTTTCCACTGCACCTTATCCTCCCTAGATGGCATCTGCTGTGCTGCCAGGAGTAGCAGACTCTCAAATTCTCTGATTTCCCAGTCCTGCAGGTTTCTTGTGAGATTAGTCAACCATTCAACACTACCATTGTTGTTTCTATATGCATCCCGCACCAACATATTTTGTGCCTGAGCAATTGCAAAAGTTATAGGAAATCACTTTATTAAACATTCATTTTCAATCCACACATCCTTCCAAAATCTAATTTTATTATCCCCACCCAACTTCCATTGCAGATTTTCCAGAAAAAATAGGCCATTGCATCGATATTTTCCTCCATAAACTCATGTCATGCGGTCTCCCAATTCTTGCCCCTCCACTGTTATCACAATCTTCCTCCACGACCTGTCTTCCTCATTCAGAAATCTCCATAACCACTTGCAAAGCCACATTTAAGTTGACAATTGACCTAGTTCCTAGCCCACCATATTTGAGAGGTTTTTTGATTTCCTCCCACTTTACCAAATGGAACTTGCGATTCTCCTCATCATCACCCCAAAGAAATTTGCATTGTATAGTTTCTAATTTTTTTGCAGTATTCACTAGAATTGTTATAATGGACAAATAATATACTGGTAGATTGACCATGGTACTTTTAATTAATATAAATCTACCTCCTTTAGATAAAAATTTCTTCTTCCAAGTAGCTAATCTTCTTTCATACATTTCCACTACCGGATCCCAAGAAGCACTGATTTTGTATTTTGCTCCAGAGGCAAACTCAAATATTTGATTGGTAGTGTGCCCTCTTAGCCTTCCATCATAGCCGCAAACAGCCTCTCATCCCCAACATCCCCCACTTTAACTAATTCCAATTTTTGTAAATTAATCTTCAAAGCCGAAATCCCTTAAAACCACAATAGAACACATCTCAAAGTGAAGACGATTCCTCATATCTGGATGACAGAAAATTAAGGTGTTGTCTGCAAACAGAAGATGGGACACATCTAAAATTAAGTCGCCTCTACCCACTCCCACTCCCACTCCCTTGAATAGTTGCAGCTTCTTAGCCTTATTCAACAACCCATCCAAAGCTTTCATAATTAATATAAACAGCTATGGAGAGAGGGGATCTCCTTGCCTTAGGCTCTTAGAAGCCTTAAAGAATTCCGATGGCCCTCCATTGATAAGCACCACAAAAGAAGTTGTTGTTATGCACGTATGCTTCCAAAATCTCCATTTTAGCCCAAAACCGAAGCTATCAAGCATGTAATCCACAAAAATCCAACTAACATGGTTATATGCCTTCTCCATACTGAGCTTGCATATTAACCCCTCATTTTTACTAGCCACTAGATCATCAACCACCTCGTTGGTCGCCATAACAGTATCAAGGAGTTGTCGACCCTCCATAAAAGCATGTTGACTTTCTCCAATGATCTCCCCAAGGACCCTAGAAAGCCTCCTAGTCAAGACTTTTACAGTGAGTTTATATAAACAACCAATCAAGCTTATCAGTTTAAAGTCACCAAAATCCTTAGCATATTTTATCTTGGGAATGAGCACAATAAAAGTAGAGTTGAGAGCTTTCACAAATTTTCAAGTTTTGTGCAGCTCCCTAAACATATCCACCACATCACTCTTGATCATATACCAAAATTTCTGCAGGGATCTCATATTGTCCCCATTCGGCCCTGAAACTTTGTACCTATTACACATCCAAACTCTCTTTTATTTCTTCTTAAGAGAAATCTATTTCCAGCAAGGTTCTGTTGCTCTCGGACAGCCTTTTGAAGTTAATACCTTCCAAAGTGGGTCTTGTCACATGCCCTTCTTCTTACAGCTTGGCAAAAAAACCTTTGAGAGCCTCTCTAAGATCACAGTTATCAGTAACCTTCCTGCCATCTGCCTATATTTCTGAAGTATAATTGCTTCTCCTCCTATTGCTGGCCATAACATAAAAGTACTTACTATTTTCCTGCAACCATCTCTCCCTGGACTTTTGCTTCCGGGAAATTTTTTCTGCCATAAACAGATTAACCAGGTCCAACTTCAGTTTGTTTCTATTACACAGCGTAGCCTCATCCAACTCAACCTCTCCCTCCATCTAATCAATCTTACTAATTTCATTCATAATGTTAGTAAAATCTTCCCCTTCCTTCCTCCTTTCATTTCTCGTCAACTCCTTGATCACAATTTTTAACTCTTTCAATTTTGTGGTCAGTCTATAACTTGCATTGCCTTGAATCACAATGTTTTTCCATGTTGCTTCAATCAAAACACCAAATTTTAAGTCTTTCAACCACTTATTGTCAGGCTGGAACGGTATTGGACCCCATTGGATACCATCCGCTTGTAAACAAATAGGATAGTGGTCAGAAATGGGCTGCTGGAGAATCCTTTGGTAAACACCAGACATCAGTAACAAAAAAAGCAGGAGATAGAACGAATCTGTCTATCGTTGAGCAGGCCGTTACGGAAGTTAGTTACTTGGTTGCCATCAGAAAACAAGAATCTTCCAGAGATCCTCAGTTGAAACTTGGACTTTCCAACATGCTGATTGTTCTTAACTGGGGCCTCAAGAGCCTTGTAATATTTTTTATTATGTGAGCTGTCCTTATTAGTGACCTCTTTACGGAAGTTTCTTCTAGTTCTCTTGGTTGAAAAATAGAAATTAATTGCATTTTTGTACATTTTATTTATCTGTAGTAGATGCTCTGGTGTACCATTACGGTTGTTTTTACTCCTTAATTTACAGGAATCACCTGAAGGGAAAAGGATGCTGGACTTTCGGAAATCTCTACCTACATCCAAGGAAAAGGAAAGGCTGCTCCAAGCAATTGCAAGGAATCAGGTTTTATTTTGGGCCTTATGATGTATGAAAAAAAGAATTTTGAGTACAGTAAGTTAAAAAAATTATTAAGAACTAAAAATAGAGATATTGGATTTTAATAATCAATCAATAATTCAATGTTGTAATAATATCATAAATACTATACCGAATCACTAAGATCAAGTATGCTATTCGTTTGGATGTAATACAATCAAATAGGATTTTTTTAGTCTATCTATAAAATCTA